GACTGGCTGCAGCTCTGTTTAATTATTCACTTTAAAGCAGGTGAATACAATCACTGATTTTACACTGAAAGAGTCTATTTTGTACATTTTGTGAGAAAAGCCAGCCAGATGAAGTCGACTAACGTTCAGCGTTGAAGAGCAACAAACAGGCCGAGCTTCCAGAGGAGGAGACATTGTTCTAGACTCAGTCGGTTGGGGAGGAGGAACACCTCGTTCAGCCTAATTAAAGAGTGTTTTCTCAGCTCGGGGCTAATAGGTTGATTAGAGTCGGTTGTTTTCACCAGCAGAGACTCCGTCAGGGACCTGCCACTGTGAAGCTCTAACGACCTACAGAGACACTGTTCAGACTGCAGGAGGACATGAAACCCTTCAGTTCACTTCAGTTTAAAGTTCACTCCAGCTGCTCACACACGTCCCTGTTTTATCTCATTTAGGACGGATTTCCAGCTTCTTGTCAACAGAATTTAACTGTATTTATTTTAAGCATTTTACTCTTAAACTGTTGACATGTTACAGATGTTCCCTGTTCATAAATAATTGATAGTTAATAGTTAACAACTAGCAAAATCACAGCAGTGTTTTTCATGTTAAATATAAAAAAACAGGTCAAAACACCAAAAATCTGTATTTTTTATTATTATTATTTAAATTTTATCCTTTAAAAAATGGTAATTTCGTGTTTTTTCCCCAACATTTGACCATTAAATTATACTGTTTTCATTGCATTTTAATCAGATTGTCAATTAAATCTGTGTTATTTAAACATATTCGCCCTTATTCAAAAGAAAAATGAGATATTTAGGATTTAACACATCAGAAATCTGTATTTTTACAAATACTAAGTCATTCTTTAACAATCTGTAGTCACAGAATTACATTTTTTTAATTATTTTTTTTAAATCAGCTACAAAAATGTTTTGTTTTGTTTTTTGTTTTTTTATTTTGTTTTTTTTTTTTTTTTTACAGATATTTGCAGTTTGTTTTTGTTTGTTTGTTTGTTTTTTACTGCTTTTAAAGTTTTTGAATGTGACACTATTCCCATTTGGGTTTTTTAAAAAATACAATCAGAAATTGTGAAGAAATGAGAAATTACAGTTTTCCTTCACAGTTTGATGCTAATTCAGAGTCAGAAGCTCGATTCAGTTCCTTCACTTCTTCAGTCTGAGCTGCTGTCACGCCTCACTGTGACGATCTGTGAAGAAAGACTCGTGAGAGTTGTTTTAGAAAAGCGTGTAAATCATGACGAATGTCTGGAGACAGAAAGACGAGGTGGAGGTTCTCAAAGTGTCCTTTCAGTGAGGGATTCGGCAGCACGGAAAGAACCGGCGAGCTGGAACACATCCTAGCGGCTGACGGGATCTCTGGAGGATCCCGTCTGACACGCAAACACACGACTGCATGGCGCCGTGATTTATTGTTTCTGCACGCAGGAGGAGCTGCTGCTGTCCATCCTGCCCAAACACATCGCTGACGAGATGCTGCAGGGGATGAAGAACCAGGCCGACCAGAACGAGGTCCAGCAGCAGCAGCAGCAGTTCAACACCATGTACATGTACCGCCACGAGAACGTCAGGTCAGCAACGCCTGTTTACTGCGTCTAGAGCTGAGTCTAGAAGAAGAGTTGTGATGGCAAAGAGGGTCAGGCTCCTCGGACCTGCAAACGGTTTGTTGCAGAGAGAAAACACCTTAAACAGGAAGAAAACTGCAGCCGATCAGCGTTCTAGACGTTTTATAGGAAGGCATGAATCCAAAAAAACACATTCTCACTTAGAATCTCCACTAAAGGCCCCTTTCAGACTCGTTTCTGAAAATCTAGTCGTCTAAACGTGTCTTCTTCTGGCCTGAATGCTCACTGTTCCTTAACAACAGCAGTCAAACACACAAAAATGTGCTCTGAGTTGTGTTTTTAAGACTTTTCCCCACATTTCAGCTCCAATATTGGTCCCAAAACATTAAAAATCCTTCAATCTGTATGATAAAAATCATCAAGGTACACTAAAATGATGCACAATAAATGGGTAAAATATGATAACGTGATAAATAAATCATGTAGGGGTACGTTTACATCACAGCAACAAGGATCTGCACACAGGAAATACTTTTATTGAAAGTAATCGTAAAGTTAACCTCTAACCTGTCAGAAAATTAAATTAAATCAGTGTCTGTAAATGGATCCTACAGGCCTCCAGAGGCAACAAAATACACAGATAGCATGTAGCTTAGCATACAGGAAGGTTAGCATGAAGTTCCCCACAACAGTATTTACATAAAACGCACATGAAGGCCTGCGTCGGTATAAACGAACCCAGTCAACAGGTTTTTTTCATCTATATATTGGTGTTTACGGTCCGGAGCTAAGTGAGGAAGCCCTGGCTGTGTCTTGCAGCATCCTGTTTGCTGACATCGTGGGCTTCACTCAGCTGTCGTCGGCCTGCAGCGCCCAGGAGCTGGTCAAGCTGCTCAACGAGCTGTTCGCACGCTTCGATAAACTGGCGGCGGTGAGTTTCACTGAATTTAACAAAGCTGGAGCTCATTTGAACTCGAAGGCACCGAATTGGTTCAGTTCATCGTGTGTTCTGCATAAAAGCTTTAATCAAAGTGGCTGATAAACTGATAAACTGATGAACTGATAAACTGGTTGGACTTTGCAGCAACATCACCAGCTGAGGATTAAGATCCTGGGAGACTGTTATTACTGCATCTGCGGCCTTCCAGACTTCAGAGAGGACCACGCCGCCTGTTCCATCATGATGGGCCTGTCCATGGTGGAGGCCATCTCGTGAGTCCACACTCTNAAAGCAGCAGAAGTGAGTCCAGCTCTGATCACCAAAGAACATGAACAGAAGCCTGATGGATGCTGGAGAACGTTCTCTGGTCAGATGGAGATCAATGTGTTGGGCTCAGATGGAGTCCAGATGTTTGGTGTGAACCTGACCAGGACCACCACAGTGGATGCATCGTCTTCTGCCCTCATCCTTCTGCACGAGGGCAGAAGGTGTTGATGACGTTTCTAGATGCTCCATGAATGTCTGAGGATGAACCAGGATGCTGGCTGGCCAGATGAAGAAGAGGAACGTTCCAGCAGGAGAACATCCAGAGAACATCATCATCAAGAGCTTCTCGATAGAACAACGGGCCAAAAACTGACTCAGAAATATAAAAAATGTATTAAATGTGTCCATAATGAGTCAACATATGTCAGAAATGCCTTAAAACTCATCCCAAGTTACTTAAAATGGTCCAAACGTGTTAGAATTTTGTCTAAAACAAGTTAAAATGTTTCCAAAATGACTTAGATTTTGTATAAATTGCTTGAAAATCATCCATAATTACTTAAATGGTCTCAAATTATTTGAAATTTGTCAAAAAAAAAAACATTTAAAATATATTCAAGAAGACATGAAAGGTGTCCAAAATAATTTAAAATTCTTTTAAAAATTGTGCAAAATGACTTGAAACTCACCTTAAATTAATAAAAATGTCCTCAGTGTCTACAACACTTTAAAAATTGTACAAAATAAATTTATATCTGTCCAATAAAAAAGCTTAAAATGGTCCAAAGTGACTTAAAACTCATCCCAAGTTATTAAAAATGGTCTAAAACTATTGTAAATGTGTTTAGAAATGGTTCCAGAATGACTTAAAATGCTCCAAAAATGTATGAAATGTGTCAAAAGTGAATTAAAATTCTCAGAAGTGTCTGAAGCCACTCATCAGAAATGACGTAAAAAGTCCAAAATGACTTAAATGTCCAACACCTGTTTTACTTAGAAGTAATCTGATTACTCAAGACGATGCAGTTTTTAAACATTCGGGTGATGTTGCAGCGTTTTGCATTTCTGTTGGTCTGAACGTTCTGATGTGAATCCAAACTGATTCATGCTGTGATGTTTTATGTGTTTGATGTGTTTCACTCCGACATGGTTCTGTTGGTTCTGTTGGTTCTGTTGTGTCATGAATCTGTTTTGTTTTTGCTCCTTGTGCTGAATTAAAAGTGATTTATTTCTTCAAACACTGATTCCTGATTCTTCTCAGAGAAAATGTGACTTTTTGCTGCAAACAGCTAAATGAAGGTCTCAAGTATTCTAGTTTTTTTTTTTTTTTAACTGAGTAGCTTCACTGATCCTCCTTCTTCCTCTTCGCCTCCTTCACGCCGTCGTCTCCCCAGACAGGACTGCAGGCTGCTCTGGCATCATCTTAGCAACAGTAACAGAGGATCAGAGAAGAGGAGGAGGAGGAGGGAGAAGAACAACACCGAGGACAGAGGAGCATCTCAGAAGTGACTGTTTCTGCAGATCACACTATGATTAAAAGTATTCTTACGTTAAACTATGATGCTCTTCTGCTCACATAGAGTCAGATCAGCCTCTGAAGGATCTGCTGTTGGCTTCAGATGGATGTGCTCATGTCTGGACTGGACTTCAGCTGCAACAAAGTGGAGACGAGAAGCTCTGAGGATCCTGGAACTGTAACTACATGAAGAGATGAAGAAGTGAAGGTGAGAGTTTCATGGAGGACCTGTGCTGAGGCCTGAGATGGATCCACTTCCTGCGGAGATGTTGTCTTGTTTTGGAGCACCTGTTGAACTTTGGTGATGTGAGCCTCCAGCAGCAGCTCCGCTCTTCATGGACTCTGGATTAGTGTTCTAGCTCAGTATTGGTGCAGCAGCATGTCTCTGAACCGGGTCCACACGGACACGGACCAGTCAGCGGAGTACTCCACGGAGTACTCGGTGCAGGTCCCCGGGGAGCACGCGGCGGCGCGGACCCGGGAGGTGACCGTGCTGCGGTCCGGCTGCGGCCGCTGCCTGCCGCGCTCCGTGCGCCTCAGCTTCACGCCGGACTCGCTGGAGAGACTCTACCAGAGCTACTTCCGGCGGCAGCGGCAGGAGAACCTGCCGGTGCTGGCGCTGTTCGCGGCTCTTTTCAACAGCTTCATCATCGTCATGTGCGCGGTGGTGTTCACGCGGGAGCGGCTGGCGATGCTGCTGGTGGCGGCGGCGGCGCTGGCTGCGGACGCGGCGCTGTACGCGCTGTGCCTGCTGCGCAAGCTGCCGGCCTCCCCGGTGTCCCGCGGCGCGGTGCCGTACGTGCTGTGGCTCATGGTCACCGTGCATGTGCTGTGCTACATGGCGCTCAACTACGAGCGCTTCCCGCAGGCCAGCGACTCGGTGGGCTGGCAGGCGTTCTTCAGCTTCTCCAGCTTCCTGACGCTGCCGCTCAACCTGGCGGCGCTGGTGCTGCTCAGCGCGCTCTCCTGCTCGATCCACACGCTGGTTCTGGGGGTCACCGTGGCGCAGGGGTTCCAGGACGAGCTGCAGGGGCCCATGCTGGTCAGACAGGTAAATATGAAGCTCTGAGTGCAGGAGAGCACCTGATGAATGAAAGTGTGGAGGAGGATGACCTCTGTTGACCTTTTGAACTTAAAGTCCTGCAGCTCTGTGGAACCAGAACATCATGAGGAAGGAGAGAGAAACGTCCTCTGTCAGTAGGACACAGTTGAAATGACACAAATCAGCAAAAACACACATCAGAAGTTGAATTTCTTTGATTATTTCTTTAACAAAACCAGAAAAACCCTGAACTCAGCATGTCAGCGTGTTTCTAAAGGTCCACAGGTTTCACCAAGTCTGGAGAAAAAAAGTTTCCACATGTTCACCTGATTTGATTGATTAATATGTTAAAGGATAAAGAGCACAACAAACTACATGTAGTCAGCAGAATTAGCTTCTCCTCCACAGTCAGACTCATTTTTAGTGTCTACTGTAGTCCAGGAATGTAAAGCAGGAGGAGGGAGCTTCAAATGCTGAAGTCAAGGTGAAGAAAAATGTTTTTATTAAGTCAGTAAATAAACTAATGCAGAAATCTGAGCATAAATTACATAAAATATTAAGTTCATGCAATTACCAACATTGTTGTGTCATTGTTGTGACGCCTGTGACACATTAAATGTGCCTTAATGTCACGATGATCTAATGAAATCACATTTTCATCTATTTAAAGTGTTTTATAGGAACTAAAATCCACCACATGGCTGTAACGAGCTATTTTAAATCCCACTAATTCCTGTAGAAATGTCATTTTCTACAAGATCTGTCAGTTTCATGACGTTTCCTCCTGCTCAGCTCCTGGCCAACATCATGCTGTACCTGTGTGCCGCCATGGTGGGCGTCATGTTCTACTACATGGCCGACAGGAAGTACAGGACGGCCTTTCTGGAAGCTCGACAGTCGCTGGAGGTCAAACTGACTCTGGAGGAGCAAAGCACCCAGCAGGTAGGTGGAACACAAATAATACAATAAAACAAGTGACTGTATCAGTATTCACCTCCTTCAGTCAGTGTTCAGCAGATGAACCTTCAGCTCCATCACTGATCCTGTTGGTCTCCATCAGCCTGAACATCTGGATGCTGCAGCTTCACCTCAGTCTGATGAAACTGTTCAGACTCTGTCAGGTTTCACAGGGATCAGGAGTGAACCGGACTTTTCAAGTCCAGCAGTCTGGACTCTGACCGGGCCTCCAGAACTTCACCTTGTTGTCTTTAAACCATCTCTGTGGAGCTTTGGCTGTTTGCTTCATTGTCTTGATGGAAAACAAGTCTTCTCCAAGTCTCAGTTCTCCTGCAGACTGCATCAGGTTGTCCTCCAGGATTTCTCTACACTTTGCTGCATTCATTCACCCTCTACCTTTACAAGGCGTCCAGGCTGCTGCTGAGAAGATCCCCACATCATGATGCTGCCACCACCGTGCTTCATGATGGAGATGGTGTGCAGTGAACACAGCATCCAGTCTGATGGACAAAAAGCTCCATTTTGGTCCCATCAGACCAAAGAACCTTCTTCCAGGTGACTTCAGAGTGTCCACATGTCTTGGTGGCCTCCATCACTAGTCTCCTTGTAGTAACTCCTTCAGAGGAGTCATAGGAGTCTTGGTGGCCTCCCTCACTAGTCTCCTTCTTGTACCTCCTTCAGAGGAGTCATAGGAGTCTTGGTGGCCTCCCTCACTAGTCTCCTTCTTGCTCGGTCACTCAGTCTCTGAGGACGTCCTGCTCTAGTCAGATCTATCATGTTCCATATTCCTTCCATGTCTTAATGATGGATTTAACTGGACTCCAGAGATATTCAGTAACTTGGAAACGTTCTTGTATCGTCTCCTGACTGTTGCTCTTGAAGAACCTTTCCACAGTGTTCTCCAGTCTTCATGGTGTCGTTCTATCCAGGAGGACTGATCCACCAGTGACTGGACCTTCCAGATCCAGGAGTCTTTATGTTAAAATCACTGAGACACATTCACTGACTTCAGATGATGCATTTACTGACTGTGGGACTTTTAGCACGGACTGGCTGCAGCTCTGTTTAATTATTCACTTTAAAGCAGGTGAATACAATCACTGATTTTACACTGAAAGAGTCTATTTTGTACATTTTGTGAGAAAAGCCAGCCAGATGAAGTCGACTAACGTTCAGCGTTGAAGAGCAACAAACAGGCCGAGCTTCCAGAGGAGGAGACATTGTTCTAGACTCAGTCGGTTGGGGAGGAGGAACACCTCGTTCAGCCTAATTAAAGAGTGTTTTCTCAGCTCGGGGCTAATAGGTTGATTAGAGTCGGTTGTTTTCACCAGCAGAGACTCCGTCAGGGACCTGCCACTGTGAAGCTCTAACGACCTACAGAGACACTGTTCAGACTGCAGGAGGACATGAAACCCTTCAGTTCACTTCAGTTTAAAGTTCACTCCAGCTGCTCACACACGTCCCTGTTTTATCTCATTTAGGACGGATTTCCAGCTTCTTGTCAACAGAATTTAACTGTATTTATTTTAAGCATTTTACTCTTAAACTGTTGACATGTTACAGATGTTCCCTGTTCATAAATAATTGATAGTTAATAGTTAACAACTAGCAAAATCACAGCAGTGTTTTTCATGTTAAATATAAAAAAACAGGTCAAAACACCAAAAATCTGTATTTTTTATTATTATTATTTAAATTTTATCCTTTAAAAAATGGTAATTTCGTGTTTTTTCCCCAACATTTGACCATTAAATTATACTGTTTTCATTGCATTTTAATCAGATTGTCAATTAAATCTGTGTTATTTAAACATATTCGCCCTTATTCAAAAGAAAAATGAGATATTTAGGATTTAACACATCAGAAATCTGGATTTTTACAAATACTAAGTCATTCTTTTATGATTTGTAGCCACAGAATTACATTTTTTAATTTTAAAAAAAAATCAGCTACAAAAATATGTTATTGTTTTTTTTTTTTTTACAGATATTTGCAGTTTGTTTTTTGTTTGTTTGTTTGTTTGTTTTTTACTGTTTTTAAAATTTTTGAATTCCAGAGTTTTTTTGTTTAAAAAAATATATATAATCAGAAATTGTGAAGAAATGAGAAATTACAGTTTTCCTTCACAGTTTGATGCTAATTCAGAGTCAGAAGCTCGATTCAGTTCCTTCACTTCTTCAGTCTGAGCTGCTGTCACGCCTCACTGTGACGATCTGTGAAGAAAGACTCGTGAGAGTTGTTTTAGAAAAGCGTGTAAATCATGACGAATGTCTGGAGACAGAAAGACGAGGTGGAGGTTCTCAAAGTGTCCTTTCAGTGAGGGATTCGGCAGCACGGAAAGAACCGGCGAGCTGGAACACATCCTAGCGGCTGACGGGATCTCTGGAGGATCCCGTCTGACACGCAAACACACGACTGCATGGCGCCGTGATTTATTGTTTCTGCACGCAGGAGGAGCTGCTGCTGTCCATCCTGCCCAAACACATCGCTGACGAGATGCTGCAGGGGATGAAGAACCAGGCCGACCAGAACGAGGTCCAGCAGCAGCAGCAGCAGTTCAACACCATGTACATGTACCGCCACGAGAACGTCAGGTCAGCAACGCCTGTTTACTGCGTCTAGAGCTGAGTCTAGAAGAAGAGTTGTGATGGCAAAGAGGGTCAGGCTCCTCGGACCTGCAAACGGTTTGTTGCAGAGAGAAAACACCTTAAACAGGAAGAAAACTGCAGCCGATCAGCGTTCTAGACGTTTTATAGGAAGGCATGAATCCAAAAAAACACATTCTCACTTAGAATCTCCACTAAAGGCCCCTTTCAGACTCGTTTCTGAAAATCTAGTCGTCTAAACGTGTCTTCTTCTGGCCTGAATGCTCACTGTTCCTTAACAACAGCAGTCAAACACACAAAAATGTGCTCTGAGTTGTGTTTTTAAGACTTTTCCCCACA